TCTTGGGGTGCTTGGGGGGGTCTTGGGGCAGCAGGACGAGCCTGGGAGGTCCCAGTCGCCCCCAATGCCACAAGCACCAGGGATGCGAGGGACCCCCAGGCTCGGTGCTGGGGTGCCCAGGGAGGGTGCTGGGGCAGGGTGCCCCTGCTCTGTGCCACCCCATGCCAGCCCGTGCCTGCACGGTGCCACTACCCGGCAGGTCCCAGGGGCCACTCAACGATGCCTTCCCCTCTGCAGCCATCTTTTCCCCCAAAATCACCTTTTTTCACCCCATCGAGGCAGCTTTTTAAGGCACAAACACCCATTTTGCACCCCAGGAGGGACCCTGGGGGGTGCCACCACCCTCTGTGCCCCACTCAACCCCGGCGGGGGGGGGGGATTTCTTTTCCCCCCCCCCCCATAAGCGTGGAGGGACAGGGATGCGGCTCCGTGTCCCCCCCAGCTATGGGATCCCTGACGTGGGGGGCTGAGAGCAGGTTTTGCCCCCCCCCCAAATTGCAGGGCGCTGGGGGGGGGGCGCTGCTCGGGGCAGGGAATCACCTCTCTGCTCCCAGCCGGGTCGGTAATGGGATGGGGAAGAGGCCACCAGTTGGGGACATGAGAAGCAGAGGGACCCTCCTGGCCTGAACCCCAGGGCGGGGAGACGACTTTTCCCTGCATTTTCCATGTGCCTTCACAGGTTTGGGCTGCTTGAAGCAGCCGCGGGGGTCAGCGATGAGGGTTTGTGGGGTGTGAATTCGGAGGGGGCTCCTCCAGCAGCCAGGGATGCTCCCGCCACTTCTCCTCTGAGCAATACCAAAGCATTAAGCTGCTGTCCTAGCCCTGCCCTCATTCAGCTCCAGAGTTAACGCCCTCTCCTCTGCAACCGGCTTCCACCTGGAGCTGCCTGCAGGGCAGGGGCTCGCTGCCCCCAGCACCCCCCAGCCCAGGCACCCTGCCCACCCATAAGAGCAGCCTCTGAACTTAAATACCCCCCTCCCAAATCCAACCATAATGATTGTGGCCTGAATCCGGCGGGATATATATAGGTCCCACTTCCCTGGGAAGGGGATGTGGACCTGGGAAACCCCCGGCTGCTGCTGGGGAAAGGAAGGGCTGGGCTGAGTCAGCTCCCCTCGAGGAATCCTGTTTGTCAGCAAACGTGGCAGCAGGCTCAGCACCGACACCCGCAAAAGGCACCCGGGCCCCATCCTGCCCTTCCCGTCCTCCCTGGGTGAGCGATGGCGGGGCTTAACCCTGCACCCCCCCCAACACCAAACCCGGCCATGAGCACGCTGGTACGGGCTCGGGATGGCGTCGAAGCCCCCTCGTGCCCCGGGTACCACCCCGGAGATGCTGGACCCACGGAAGGGGAGCGGGATGCGGGGCTCCCCCGTTCCTGGAAGGCAAAGGCAGCTGGGGGGGACGGCGGGGGGGCAAGGAAATGCCTCTTTGAGTGCTGCCTCTCCAAGCGAAGGGCTCGCTTTTCCGAGAGCAGCCTCCAGCGTGTTTGCATTAAACAGCTGCTTCCCGATCCGCCACACAGATTTCAGGGGGCCCCACTGCCGGGAAGGGGACCCCACACCTGGAGCCCCTCACCCTGGCACCGCTGGAGGGATGCGGGTGGGCTGGGGGGAGGAAGGCCGGATCCGTCCCTCTGCCCTCCTGCTGGTGACCATGAACTCCGGCGTGCATCAACAGGAAAGCGGGTCGGGGCAGCGTGGCCGGCCAAGAGCCTGACCCCGAGCCCTTGCCACGCCGCTGGCCCAGACCTCCGCCCTGAGCAGGGGCTCCGGCAGCTTTCCCTGGGTCCCCTCCCGGAGCTTCCTCCACCAGCTCCTGGGGACCCCCCCATTGCAGGACCCCAAAGCAGCCCCGGTGTGGGGTGCAAGCAGGAGGGAACGCAGCCCTGGGTCCTGGAGCCAGCCCGGTAGCAACCTGCAGCCAGGATGGGGGGACTCCATCCCCTCCTTCCTCCATGTTCCCGCCGCACCGGGGAATGGATCCCCCCTCCGTCCCCTCACCCTGCCCTCAGGGACCCCCAGGGCTGGGATGGGGGTGCTCCCCCACCACTCACCTCCCCGTACCCCCCCCACCAGCTCCCACGCTTACACAGTGCTACACATCTCTCTTTATTAATAATATTAAATATACAAGTGTTTTCTATTATTTTCTTTAAATAGACTTCTTTAAATGACTTTGTATAAAATATTTCAACATTTCATTGTATCAAAAAAAAGAAAAAAAAAAACAGAGGCAAAATAAATCCAACACAGCTTGAAGGCAAGTTTTCTCCCCCAGGGGCGGAGCGCCGGCATCTCCTCCACGGTGCAAATCGGTGCTGAGCCAGTGGCTTACCCCAGCAGCAAGTTTGGCCCCAGCCTCCCTGCTGCAGTCAGGGCTTTCCTCCTGATTTACACCAGTCCCTTGCCCTGGAAACCCTTCCTTTTGGCAGTCATAAATACACATATAAAAAAAAAATTAATAGTAATGCTTTCTTTAAAAACAGTTTGGTTTGTCCACATTTTCTTCCATTGTATAAAAATAATACTTCAAAACCCAAGAGCAGCGCGGGCCACGCTTCACATTCAGGGCCAGAGGGATGCTGCGGTGGGCAGGATGCGGCCCGAGCCCGGGGGCTGGGGTATCTGCAGGGGTGGTGCACCCCAAACCAGGCTCTTCCCAAAGCCGGGGAGGGGGCTGAGCCAAAAACCCCCCGCGTACCCGGCCGGGCATCTTCATCTCTTACACCCACATCGATCCAGTCCTTCCCCGGCTCCATTTCCCTTCTCTAAAGCGCAGTCACAAAAAGAAATCCAGTTGCAGACGAGGCCAGCTCGCAGCAATAACCCTGGGAGGAGGCCGGATGGGCCCCCCATAAAAATACTTCTGCGGGATAAAGACCTTCATCTGCTACATTAAAATAAAACCCTAACGGCACGACGGTGAGCCGAGGCCAGCTCGGGCAGGAGGGAGATCTCCAGCGGCAGGAGGATGGGGACCGGGACGGTGCCAAGCATCACCCCCCAAGCCCGGCCCCGCGCGGGGACGCGGGCACCGGTGGGCTTTAAATATTCACAGTGTGAGGGTTGAAGTTGCAAGTTGGGGCTGGGGTCGTGCAGCCCGGGAGGGTGGGAATCCTGGCGACTGAGCCCCCCGGCATCTGGGATGCCCCGGCTGAAGCCTTGGGAAAGGCAGGGTGAAGCTGGGGGGCGATGGGAGCTGCTCCAAACCCCGCTGCGCTGGGGTGGGAAAAGAGCCAGGGGATTTGGGGAGCTGGTCCCCTCCATCTTCAGCCAGCGCTGGCCACGTCCAAGTGGTATCCATCACCCCACATCCAGCGCCAGCCTCTCCATCGTCCCGCTCAGCACCACGATGTCACATCAGCCACCGCCGCCATCCCAGCCAAAGCCTTTCGGTAACGGTCCGACGCCTTCCAGCCCTTTGCTTCCCGGTGCCCGGGGGTCCCACTTGGGGAGCATCCCCCCATCCTTCCATCCCTGCCTGGGAGGGTTTTTTTTGCAGTCTCTGGCCGCCGGCGTGGGGGCGAGGGAAGAGGGAGCATCAGCATCATGGTGGGACCATGGAGGGGCCGGTGCGTGCCAACCCTCCTTCGCACGGCAAGGAGTATCCGAATCCGTCCCTGGAGCAGCTTCGCATCCCGCCTCGGGCCCTGGGGAAAGGAGGAGAAAGATGAGCGGGAGCTGAGGCTCTGCCAGGGAGGGCGGAGGGGGGGGAGCAACACATAAAAACCACAGGAAAAAATACTATATGTATTAAGAAAGCGCTGGTAATGGATTAATGGGCTGCAAAACCGCATGCTGGCAGCGCTGGGATGCAGACCTGCTCCTCTCCGTGTCTTCCCACCCCATCCACCCCCTGCCAGCAGCCGAATTTCCCTGCTCGTGGCTGAGGTCAGTGCCTGCGGGGACACTCTGGGGGCTCAGCGCTGTCCCCACGGCTTGGACCGGAGCCCTGCAAGGTCCCATCCAGCCCCTGCTCACCTTAGAGCTCCTGAGTCTCCAGCTCTGGACATCCCCCTGCTCCCTGCAGCGCCCTGTGAGGGAAAACCAGGGGGGTTTAGGACAGGGTGGCCCCGGGTGGGAGTCCCCAAAGCCCCCCCAGGCAGGACGGTATCGCACCCACCTCCTCTCTGGCTCCTCGGGGTCGCAGCCTCCATCTTCCAGCGGCCGCTCCAGGACCTGCACAGAGGGAGAGGGAACAGGGAGATGAGCCCTGGGAAGGGGATGGGGCTGTGGTGGTGGGGCTCTCACCCCCAACCCACTGCCGGGACGGGGGATCTCCCAAATACCATCCTCCCACCCCACTCAGCACCATCACTTGTACCCCCCCATCCCGAAATGATGAGGAAAGGGGGGCTCAACCCACACAGACCGAGATGAGTGGGGAAACTGAGGCAGGAGAGGAGGCTTGGACCCAGGAAGGGGGTGGCCTTACCCTGGATTTATACTTGTAGAAGAGCAGCCCTCCCATGGCCAGCAAGACAGCCACCACGCTGGCCACCGTGATGTATATCAGGGGCTCCCCGCG